GTTCTGTTAGCTGCTTCCAGCAGGATAACACACCATGTCACAAAGCTTAATTCATATCAAATTGATTTCTTGAAGATGTCTGCACGCCACAGTCACCAGATCTCAATCCAGAAGAGCACCTTTGGGATGTGTTGGAATATGAGATTTGCATCATAGATGTGCAGCTGACAAGTCTGCAGCATTTATGTGATGTTATCATGTTTCCAGCACCTTGCTGAATTGGCGCCATAAAAAAGTTTTAAAGACTAAAAGGCTCTAATCTGGCAGGGTATTTTTAAAAATGTAATTCAACCAGGATATGCCTTCTAAATCTCCGTACAAAGCTGTGCTCTTATTTCTATAATTGGATATTTTGTTTTTTTTTAATGGAAAGTAAAACAAACTGCTGTGCTGAAAATGGGAACAAATCAAACAGTATTGTGTTGATTACTCCCGCTACCTTAAAATGAATGGATTGAAGACAGCTCAAGTGCTAAGTTGGATATCTTTAACAATAAATAATGTTATTCAGTTTAAGTAAAAAATGCCACTATGTAACTTAATACGATCCAGATATAGTGACATGCATGTATAATATGATTCTATTCAGATAAACAGGCTTGTGCTTATAATAGGCTTCAGGGTGAAGCACAAACGGCGTATAACTGCCAGAGCTTCAGTGACAAGCATTTTTAACTTAAAGACACACGCATGCATGAACAGGCACACTGTGTAACAAACCCAGACATAAATATATGAGAATGCAGAGTCCCTCTGTATTCCCACAGTGGAACATGTAATGATAGTGGCAGTTGGTGGGTTATGCAAATTGGATGCAAATGCAAGTTCAGAATTTGTGTATAGTGATTGCACCAACGGCCAGATAAGGAGTGTAGTTAAAAATAAATAGGCGGGCCTTCCTGTTGAATTCATTTTATCTGACCTGTGTGTGTATTGCCAGCTTTTCTGAGTGGTGTTTTATTGCTGTTGTGCTGTTTTGTTTGAGGTTGCTGTTTAATGACTGCAAACGTATTGTGTGAGCTTCATAGACAGTCACGCAAGACTGCAGTGCTTCGCTTTTCTTAACTAGGCTTGTCGCATCCTGTAACTGCCATGCATCGCACACCTACACACACCTACGCACACCTACGCACACCTACGCAGCGCTGGTTAAGTAATCAGAGGATCGGAATGGGCATGCAAAGCTGTGAGCAGGAAATGTCACACCTCAGCTTTCACAGGATACAGTATTTATGGTCCTGTTTTTTAAAAATATACAATTTTAATTACTTTATCGAAGGTTAATCCAAATACTATAGATGTTGCATTAGTGCTTGTCATTAAGTTATGGTAATAGAACGACAAACCTTAAAATAAAGCTTAAGCACAGGCAGAAATGTATGTCATCCAGTAGACCTGTGACTGCCTTTTACATGCAACAAATGTGCTGAATATATCAGTATTTATTCTTTTCTTTCTATGGGTACAATGGAGGATTTAAAAACAGCCAAAGTTTAAAAGTGCGATCTAAATTAATAGCTGAAATGTACACCCGAGTTTTACTCTGTGTAGGGACGCCTGCTGCTGCTCTGAATGGGCCCAGATTGCTTGACCATTAGATTGAAAAAGGTTTTACTCAGGCATGTGGCATGCAAGTAACTGCTTCCTGCAAAGCACAGTGTGAATCTGAGTGTGTGTGTTTGAAAGGAGGCTTATTTTAAGTGATGGGCCTGAAGGCATTGAGAGCCAGTGCCAAGGGCCAGTGTAGAGTGAAAGTGGAGAGAATTCGAGGTGTTGCTGGGAAGAGCGAAAGGAAAATAACAGCAGAAAAATGATCAGTTTTGTCCCCCTGTCACTACTTTAGTATTCTGTTTCTTTCTTTCTTTCACTCGTTCTGCTTCCTTTCCTCTTCATGTAATATCGGTTGGTAGATAAGTAAAGTTTGAACTCCTCGTTTAATATTCTGTCTCTTTTAGTATCCAGATTACCCTACTTAAAGTCTGCCTGTTATTAAACTGTGGCCTGTGGGGGGCCTTGTTTATTCTCTTTATATTAGAGCGGTGGTTCATTATAGTAGCCATTAGCAGAACTGCAGGATTTGTTTTCTATGTGAGACAATGAGGAGAAAAACACAGCTATGGACTTGGGTAATGCTTTATTGTTACCTATGTGGTCTGATCTATCACAGAACATGTTTGTCACTACATACACAACAAACACTCAGTGTCAGTGGCATTTAGGAAATCCATATTCCTTAATCCTGCCTGGTGATTGTAGCTTTTTGCGGTTGTTTGTCTCTGCTCTTATTGCATATGGCCTTTGTGTGTATTTGCATATCCACCTTGTTTAAATGTGGATCAGAGTGTCAGTGTGTCTGTGGGTCGTCAATATCAGGCTTCTGTTTGACTGTGAGGACTTGGGTTTTCAGGATCAATAAAGTTTTCTCTTGTTTCTTTGTGTTACAGGTCCAGCAGATTGATCGAGTGGTGGAAGTAGTGGACGAGGCTGTTAAAGGTATTTTACCACACAAAGGCACACACACACACGCATCCTTGTTTTACTGTCTTTGCGTGGTCTTTAACGTAATGCTAACCACCGCAATTAAACTCAAAACTAAGGTCCTCTAACACAAATCCATATCCCCATTACAACACAAAACAAATTTGCACTTATGCATGGAAGGAATAAGATCCAAGGATGTATTATTTTATCCAACCATCCATCCATTCGCTTCCGCTCATCCTTTGGCAGGGTCGCAGGGGCACTGGAGCCTATCCCAGCTGTCGTACACCCTGGACAGGTCGCCAGTCTGTCGTAGGGCTGACACATATACACACACAACCGTTCGCACTCACATTCACACGCAATTTAGACTTTCCAACTAACCTATCCCCACTAAGTGCATGTCTTGGGACTGTGGGAGGAAGCTGGAGGACCCGGGGAGAACATGCAAACTCCACACAGAAAGGCCCCGGCCTGATGGTGGAATTGAACTCAGGACCTTCTTGCTGTGAGGCCACAGTGCTAACCACTGCGTGTATTATTTTAGACATTTTATTATAGTCTCTCCACTTTTACTACCTTACTACAGTCTACTTGACCAGTAAGAATCGGAGTGTATCAGACTGCATCAGAAGAGCACATAATCAAATGCTGATAACTTAATATTATACTAACACTGTTAAAAAAAAAACCAACAGTCATTATTAGCTATAATAGTGTTAAGGTTGTTAGAAAATGTAGTATTTTCCAAAGTGAATGGAAAGAGCATGCTTTTTATGTTGTCATGGTAAACTAAAAAGAACAAAAAACAACATTTGACTAAATAATTGTTTTAAATGTGTATTTTAAAGCAAAAGTCTTCAGCTTTTGTTGAAACCGATCTAACTGTCTGAGCTGCTTCTTAAATGATCCTCTCTGTCTGAGCAGCTCACTGACAGACACACATGGCAGTTATAGGTCATCCGTTTAAACTGTTAGCGAACCACCACACTTAGCTGTTTAATGACGGTCAGAGAGAGTTTACAGTGTGAGTGAGTCTAGTCAAGCTGTCATACACCCCCAGCTGTTCTCTAATAAAGAACAGATTGAGTTTACACTGTGCGTGTGTGTGTGTGTGTGCGTCTGAGTGACTACTTTGCACTGCAGGGTTCACTCTAATGAAGGACAGCTGAACTAAGGCTTAATTTTACAATGTGTCATCAAGCCTAAACTGTGAGCCTACACACAAGCTCACAGTCACACATCTACTCTGTGACTTTTATTCCCCCTTTCTTCTCTGTGATTTGCTCATTCTGTCTTTTTTCTCCCCATTTCTTTCTCCCACCCTTCCAACATCTTTTGATCTCTTCCCTTCCTCTCTTTCGCCTCTCACCCCCCTGTTTCTTTCCCTCCCCTTTTCCTCCCACCATCAGCCCCTCCATAGAAACTAATTTCCCCAGTATCATTACTGTTCTTTATGACCTCGTATAAACTGAGAGCTGTTATTTCGTCTCAGAGGCCTGGGCATAAACCTTAAAGCTGGGGGATTTGCCTATCGTAATGGCTACTAAAATACTTACTTCAATGAACTGCTAATAGATACAGGTCTTTGCTGTGCCAAAATTGCTTGCAGGTCGTGTTTTCCACATGACAAGAGTACTCATATGCTTTTGGGGACTCGCTTCTTAGCGTGTGTGACTTTTTCATTTAGTTCCAAGCTTTAAATGAATTAAACATCCTTGATGTCATGAGGATACATCATAGTTGTAAAGCTGCTTTTTATCATAGTGCATCTGTGCAATAAAGACTTCAAGTTACTACCTGTAGTAAATGATAGGACGTGTTTTTATCCCGTCGTGTTATCTCAGGTTGACTTCCTGGCTTAGTCGGTGCATGCTCGCTTATAAATACAGTGTTATTTATTTGTTGGTGGTGGTGTTACTGTGGTTACGAGCTTGATTATCCAGATCAATTTGTTTTAGTTGTGCCAGAAGTTAATTTCTTGTTAACAACAACCCGTGCTTTGACTCCGTCTTGTATTCCGAGCCCACTGGCAGTTCCATTTACGGAAAAACAAAAAAAAGACACATTAATGACACTCGTGGATACACATTTTTACAAGGGCAGCTTTTATGATTCTCGGCAATGCTCAACAGACAAATACACACCACAAGAACAAATGAGTAAAATATTTTTAATTGAGAAGAATGTATGGAAAAACCCACAAAAAGATACTAATAATCTGATCTTGAGACTTTTTTATAATTAAGACTCCTAATATTCTTATTCTTTCACTGAGAAATGCCCTTGGATATTACCTTTTCACCTGATATTCATTTATCGTTAAGGAAACAGTTTATAGTTGGTGTATGAATGCCACACAAAGACAGGGAGTAGGAAAAGCATAGTTAGGATAATTTGTGTGTGCAGCTACAGATCAGAGATTATAACCTTGTGATCCTTATTTCACCAGTATTAATAACCTGTTTGCCTTTATCAATGCAGAGGGAAAAACTGAGCAGAAGTGTGGTTGAACAGATGCAGACAGATGATAGTAAGTGAAGTAAATGAAGAGCAGAAGAAAAGAAAAACGTTAGGACTTTTACTTATGTTTTAAGTCATCTGAAGATGTTCTGAGTATCGTCTCCGCTCTGAGAGAGCCCCTCTAGATGTGACCAAAAAATCTTCCCTGTAAAGCGTCAAAACCTGGATGACGTTTAAGGGAAGCACTCTTCGGAATTGTTGGCGTTGTAGCGCTCATGCATTTGATGCGTGTGAGAGAAAATTTCCCATCAAACTGGTTTGTGTGAGATTTGGTCAGGACATAAACAGCTTTTTTAAAGACGGTCTTACATATTTAATAAAGAGTTAGGTTGAAAGGATAAATGGAAAAACATGAAACCCTCCTGTCCTTCTCATCTGCCACCTCTGTCCCCTCTTTTCAGTACATTCCCATCACCTCTCCCCCATTCCTGCCTGCTACTTTACAATCAACCCAGAAAGCTCAACAAGACCCTCTGCTTCTAAGACATCAGACACAGGTCAACAGGTCATCCTTTTAGCGTTCTCCCTCTCCCTCCAAACCATCCATCTGGCTATCCTACACATCTTTCATCATCATCCAAGCATCTACAAATCTTAGCTTCACATCCATCTATCATTCCCTTTCCTTCCTTCTCTTTTCTGGCGTGTTTTAGTGGGACGTTATGAGTGGATGGGACATTTCTAGCAGTTTAGATTTAAAGGAAAGAAAAGAACCGATTGAGGAAAGTTGAGAAGGAAAAAGAGGAGGGCAGTCAGTCACAAGAAAATGTGGTATTAGTAGACGGGAGTGTGTGTGTCTATGACTATGCAGGGTTGCCCATCACAGCAGTTGGCCTCTGTAAACTCTGTAATTGAGATGACAAATAGTGAAGCGTTCTTTGGTTTTCTTCAGCAAGTCATATTAGCTATTTTATCTCTTGCTTCCTATTCATGGTCCCCTAGGCCCTGAAATTGAATTTGGCTTTGGGTACGTTCCTGGAGTGACTCCATGCTGGCAGTGAGATTATTTCTAGAGTCTTCTGCGGTAGTCACAGTGACAGGGGTCCTGTGCAGTATTAGAGAGCAAAGGAGTATGTGGGGAATGACAATTTCCAGTTTTATTAGAATGGACAAGCTCATTATTTGGGGGAAAAAAACATCTGGAAATCCAGCACCATACTGGTAATTGCTTTTTCCTGACAAGTCTGTGTTTGCAATTATGTTTAGTAAGTATATTTTCCCACCGTGCAGAAATAAATGTTCAATATGAAAATAGAAAAAGAGGGAATTCTAAAAACAGATTTTACCACAAACCTGCAGCGAAATTACTCTTGTGACTTTTTGTAGCCATTAACATTTCACATATTCCAAATGTTTCAGGGCATTATTAGCACATGCATGAGTTTTCAATCCTTGTTTCATGACTGAGGGTGGATGCACAGATCCAGGGGAGGAAAAAAAAATGTGGGGCCAAATGTGGTCCAAATCCCAGCTGTTTTCCACAAGGGACATTTTTGTATTTCCTTGCTTGTACTGGGATATTAAGACCAGTCATGCCTCAACGATTGGCTCTTTGTCCTCCTCTGGGGCAGATTGTCATTTTTATCTACCAATTGATAACCATGCTTCCTGCTCTGAACCCACCCTCCCAAGAGACCCTTGTATTGCGGATGAAAACAGGAAGACAATTCCATCCCTCAGCGCCTCCATCTCACACACAGCTAGCTAGCAGCCTATTAAACGGTTAAAGAGAGAGTACTGTGTCCCATTTCCACACACCAAAGGCTAGACGTCACTAGCTGTTAGGCTCAGCTGTGGATTTTTCATTTGCCTTGGTTGACACTATGATAGCCAAATAGAAATAATTTCTTTTAGTTCTCACTGTGAGTAAAGTAGCCCTCTTTATGTAGAGGAATCTCCTTTTCATTTCTAATATTATCAGTTTTTGGTTTTTTCCATTTTTTTATGTGACTTTATTCTTGGTCAGTCTATTAGTTTACCTCCTTTTTTCTTTTGAATGTTGACAAACAGTGTGGCTTTCTGTGTCTTTGTTCCATCCTTTTTTACTTTTCCTGCCTTTGTAATTAATTGTATTCAGCTGGGCCTTATTACCCTCTTCCTACTGTGTTTCCATTGTGTTTGTTAACCCCTAGTCTGTGTGAGGTTGTCAGATATAGGATGGTTCTGTTCTTTTTGGTTGTGCTTTTTGTTGGATACCAACTTTTATGGTGTGCATGGGCACGGCTGAGGACCCCTCCCAACCCCAAAACAGTGTTAATGAGAGCCAGAGGCCCCAAAGTCCACTTCTGAGAAGGAAAAACCCTGTTTGCACGTGCTTCGATCTGCTATTATGTCTTTCCTTATTGTCCTGAGGAGAGCGATTTATTTGAGGTCTATTTTGCACAATGGGAAGTTTGATTTCTGTTTGGCATTTTGCTTGTGGGTGAAATGCAAATATAATCTCATTGTTTGCATTGTAAGTTTGATGAGAGACATACTCGAGAGAGAGCAAGTGCTCTGACAACCAATACGGGCAAAATGTTTCTTACGTCCGTTATATTGTATTTATTTTTCTCTTTAGCAGTGCAATTCAGATTTGGCATTTAAAATACAGCAACAAAAATACTTCAGGGTGCCTTTTTAAACATGTTTGCATCCATCTGCACATGGACAGTAGTGTGATAGTCAGTCAGCGTTTTAGTAGGATCATTTGATTATGTGAGACGATTTGTTTTTGTTGTTTTTCAGGCCACTCAGTTCGTCTGTTGGGTCAGAAGAAAGATGGAGGCCGAAGACTTGGAGGAGCTCGACTGGACCTCCCCAAGATCAGGAAGAACCCTCTCATTGAAATCATCTCAATTAACACTGGGTAGGACACGGAGACACTAACAGAGAACACAGCCTAAAGTATTTATGTTACAACTGAATATAGTTTTATTGCCTTTCCAGTTTACTGCATGTGCATGTTGGTGTGTTCTCTCTTTCTGGTTGCTCAGCTACTTGAGCAGCGCATCTCTATGCCTAATTAATAAGGGTATTTAAAATCACTTCACATGGTGTGCATGCGTGTATGAAATCTAAGTATGTTCATGAACATATATTGGTATTTATCAAGTGGAAATGTAATAGGAGTAAAGTAAAGTAAAATTTTATTTATATAGTAGTGGTGCAACAGATCAAAAATCTCACGGTTCGGATCGGATCACGGTTTTAAGTCACGGATCGGATCAATTTTACGGATCAGCGAAAAAAGACTAAAATTTAACATTTACTTATTGAAATATTTTTTGCCTGTTAAAAACATTCAACTCAAGACTCATTCCACGCAATTATTAAAACAAAAATATGGTACAATATAGGGCAGTACAGTCTTTGTATCTACCACTCAATTCAATTTTATTTATAAAGCGCCAAATCACAACAACAGTCGCCTCAAGGCGCTTTATAATGTAAGGTAGACCCTACAATAATACATACCGCTCATTATATCGCACTCCGCTGTGATATAACGAGCGGTCACGGTCACGTAGCTTTCCGTTGCCCTGGAGGTCCACCCATTTGTAGTAGTCACGGCAACAGAAGATGTCTTGGACAGTTCAGCCATAACTTCAATCTTTTCCTGCTCATACATGCTTGGAACGATCTTGCCACTAAAGTGGACGCAAACGGGATATCATAGCGTGGCTCAAGCACGTTCATCATAGTTTAAACCTCTTGTTTTGCGCAACAGAATACGGCCTCCTGTCTGCAGCTAAACACCTGAATAGCTTCTGTAATAGCTTTAGCCCGGTCGGACTGGGCAGCAAAGGGCTGCTTAAATACTCCTCTGCTCCTCCACTTGGACCGCTAGCGCTGGCCATAACTATCGCTTGACAGACCCACCACGCGCACCATACACATACACTTTTTTCCTTCTTTTTCGAATCTTCGGATCACGTGCGTGCCGAACCGTGGAGTGGGATTGGTTCGGATAACGGATCAACGGTGATCCGTTGCACCACTATTATATAGCACCTTTCAAGATAAAATCACAAAGTGCTTTACAAAGGCAGAAAACAGACATTAAAATCTAAAACAAAACAAAATCAACCAAAAGCGAGTTTAAACAGATGTCTGAGACATGACTGAGTCCACAGATCTCAAACTCAAAGGGAGTGAGTTCCAGAGTCTGGGAGCCACTGATACAAACGCTCTGTCACCTTTTGTTTTTAACCTTGTATGCGGGACAACCAGCAACCCCTGGTCACAAGACCTCAGGGACCTGCTGGGGTGATAAGAAAGAAGAAGATCGCTTAAGTAAGTTGGAGCTACACCGTGCAGGGCCCTATAAGTCATGATTATGATCTTAAATTGGACCCTGAACTTGACAGGGAGCCAATGCAGCTGAATCAGCAGGGGAGTGGCATGCCTAACATGCCTAACATGCCTCTCAGTTTTTTCTCGGTGTACTATTACAAAAGCATAATTTAAAAAAATGTATTTTCTCCATCATCGCTGTGATGATCTGCAAGATCTTGCCTTTTAAGTCACTCCTAGTTAATTTAAAAATAATTTTTCTACATTATATCTAAATTTTGTCAATTTATATAAATTTGATAATTAAGTCTTAAATACACAGACTCTGAGACCTACATCCTCTTGCACAGCTGGACTTTATGGGTGAATTTTATGTTGTTTACAGATATGTCTCCTCTAACTCATGCACTATATTCTCAGTAGACTAGTTAAAAAGGGTTATGACGGACTAATTCCTAGTGCTGGACCTCCACTGAGGATAATCCATCAATCATCCGAATGCATGTCTTCCGGCTCTATATATTAATGGCTTGACTCCCAGACCAAGTACTCTTGTACCAAAGCAATAATCCTCTTTATGAGTATAGCATTCTAGGCTTAAATACACAGTATTTGTTCTTGTACAGATGTGTTCAGGCCCTCCTGCTTTTTAACTAGCTGTCGAGTAAACAAGCTTAAGCTGTTCCTAAGCACCATTAAGAAGTTGTAGACTTCACATAATCAGCAGTGCATCGTCTCTTTCTTTGAACCTCTTGTGTTTACATTTATTACAGTCAGTGAGGGAGTTGAAGATTTTACTTGAATTACCAGTTTTCTCCATGAATCTGTTGGACTACTTGCAGCAGCATTCTTATGCTTATTTTCACACTTAACGTGATAAGATCATGCTTATCATGCTGCTGCTTAAAGCTGTATTTGTTTTGTCAGCAAAGGTCTGCCTATATAGTGTCTGCAGTCACTGAAGTCATTATATGTAACATCAGTTTTGATGTATAACCACTAGCATTGCTGTTGGTGGTAGTAAAATATATAGCCTGTTGTATTCCCTCACTTGCGAGTTTGTACTTCTAGAGCGAAGAGAGTATCCTTCTTTACCTCAAAGATGTGAGAAGTGATGTTATTATTACACAACATAAATGATGATGATGGATGGATACTCCAAGGTTAAGAACTGCTTTAATTCTAAAAAGCATCAGCTGAGAAGTTGTGGGAGTCTTTCCTGAAGAGCGGGTTGTGTTTCAG